TTTTTTTCAATAACAAAAACACCCCCACCAGTGTTAGTGCTGCTGGTAAGAGCAGACACCACTAACACCAGGGGAGAGGCTCCATCTATTAGTGGGGAGTGTCACCTGCTGGAAAACGGGTCCAGCGTCCCTTGAAAGAAAACATCTTGAGAAGGTGAAAACCAGTGTAAGGTCTGCCAGCATTGATTACCCTGCACAACAGGGGATTGACTGAGCAGACTCTATGAGAATAGTGGCTATGGAGTCTGCCAGCATTGATTGCCCTGAAACCCAGGGGATCGACTGAGCAGATCCTGTGTAATATCCAGTAAAGTAGCCTTGTGTGAGCATGCAGGGCCGCCAATCCCTTTTTGTATCTCTTCACCCTTATAAAAGGGCGGCAAATAGACCGCTAAGGACTGATACTAGGGACTGATAATAATCAGGGGAGCCACACACTCCAAAACCATGCTCAGTTGCATACAAGCTGATTCTTTTTGTGTATTTCTTTCTGAAGTCCTCTTTCTGAGATCAGATGTGGAGCCTTCTCGTGCCCCTTCGCATGTCGATGGGTATTTTTTGTTTCCATGTCATCCGCGTGATAAGTTGATAGCCCACGGCATCTTTTTCTTACCAACAAACCACCATAAACGAAAAAAAAAAAAAAAAAAAAAAGGGTGAAACGGTGAGGCAAAAGTGCACTTGAATGAAAATTTTGCAGTCAGAGAATTTTCACAATTTTCAGCGTTTTTTGGAAATTGAAACGGTTTTCACGTTTATGGTAGCAGCTCCCATTCCCAGGGCTCGATCCCCGGATCTCGCCCTTACCCGTGTACAGTGTTAGTTGCCCTGTGTGTGTTTGAACCCGCGACCTGTCTGTCGCAGGTTAGTGTGGTTGTCGGGTCTCGAACTGTAGATCTGTCGGTAGGAGTCTTCATGGGGGTAGAAGTCGTAGCTGCTACAGTATTGAAAGGTCAAGTTGTAGCTGCTGCTACATTGCCGAAGGGTCAAGTCTACGGACTTCCGGAAGGTCGGGAAGTGACCCTTCGTGTAGTCTTCGGCGATGGTCTGTAGGCAAGCGGGCAAGTGGCTAGTCCAACCTCGCCTAGTCAGCCGTACCCAGTCCCAGTCGCACTTTGTCCAGTCAGCAAGTACCATGTGGGACTGTGTGCACCCTGGGCCCCGTGGAAAAGGGCAGACCAGCGATCATCCAGAGTATAAGTCAAGAGGCAGCGTCCAGTCATTCATTCATTCTGCCTGCGAGCCGTGCAGAAGTGCTGCCTGAGCGCCTTGTGCAAGGAGGTCTGCAGGTGCCCGAAGGGGAAGTGGGCTGCGAGGGAGACGAAGCAGCCATAGCCGCTAGTAGCTAGGAGGTAGAAGGCAGCCATAGCTGCCGTAGGTTAAAGATAGGCCGTAGCGTGTATGTGTGAGAGTGTTGTGTGGAGTGGGTGTGTGTGTGGGACATCCAGGAAGATCCAGAGTAGCGTGCGCATGAACAGTTTCCGGGAATACAGTGTCGGATGGGGTTGTGTGGACGCACAGGCGCCATAGCCATCGGAAGCAAGTTTGAATCTGAACTGTGTTTTGGCCTCGATATCTCTGAGCTTTGTGTGGGCGCCTGGCGCCAGTGTGATTGCCACCTGTTTTCATGCATGCTGAATAAGGAAGAAGACGAGTCTGGTTGCAAAATGGTCACCACAGACAATTCCAATGGACAAAAAAAAAAACAGTCCAGAACATTGAGAAATGGTCACCAGACACAACGCCAACAGTCAAAAAAAAAAAAAAAAAACAGGAAAAACTTCAAAAAAGTGAAAATTTGCTGAGTGAGGACGCGCCGGGGTAAACCGGGCGTGCCAGAAAAACGGGCAGAATTTTTTTATTTTTATTTTTTTGGAACCAGGATCGTTCTGCGCTCGGCGAGAGGACCCCGAATCTGCAATAAAATTTTGGTTTGGGGGGTGGGGTGGGGGGTGCTGGGGTTGGGGGGGTGTCTGGGATGGATGATGGAGGATGGCGAGATGGGATTGAGGGAGGGAGGGAGGGAGGATGGAGGATGGAGAAAGGCAGGGAGGAGTAGGGAAGGAGGGGAAGAAGAAGAGGAGGAGAGAAGAAGACCTTATGAGGGGGGAGGAAGAAGAAGAAGAAGAAGAAGACGAAGAAGAGAGGTGAGGAGGAAGAAGAAGAAGAAGAAGAAGAAGAGAGGTGAGGAGGGGAAGAAGAATGATGAAGAAAGGTCGAGGAGAAAGATGAAAACGCAAGGGGGAGGAGGGAAAGAAGAAGAAGACGAGAGGACAACGAGGAGAGAAGAAGGAGAGGAAGAAGATGACCGAAGGAGGGGGAGGAGGACGGCCCTCATTTTTTTTAATTTTTTTTTTACCTAACGTGTCTCACGTGACCTACCGAAAGTCGACGAACTGAAAGAAGAAGAAGAAGAAGAAGAAAGGGGAGGAGGGGAAGAAGAAGAAGATGAAGAAAGGTCGAGGGGAAAGATGAAAACGCGAGGGGGAGGAGGGGAAGAAGTGGAAGACCAGATGATGACGAGGAGAAAAGAAGGAGAAGAAGACGACCGAAGGAGGAGGGGGAGGAGGACTCCCTTCGTTGTTGTTTTTTTCCAACCTAACGTGTCCCACGTGACCTACCGAATGTCGACGAACTGGAAGAAGAAGAAGAAGAAGAAGAAGAAGAAGAAGAAGAAGAGGAGGAGGAGAAAGAAAATGAGTGGGGGAGAAAGGAAAGACAAAGAAGAAGATGAAAGGTTATGGAGGAAGATGAAATCGCGAGGTGGACGAGGGGAAGACGAAGAAGACGAGTGGAGAAGGAGGAGGAGAGAAGAAGAAGAAGTAGAAGAAGATGAGCCGAGAAGGGGGGGGGAAGGTGGACGGCCTGTNAGTAGAAGAAGATGAGCCGAGAAGGGGGGGGGAAGGTGGACGGCCTGTCGTATCTCACGTGACCTGCCGAATGATCTAGAAGAAGACGAAGAAGAAGAAGAAGAAGAAGAAGAAGAAGAAGAAGAAGAAGAAGAAGAAGAAGAAGAAGAAGAAGAATGGCTGCGATAGGGTATGGCGGCGGCGGTAGGGTATGGAGAAAGGCAGGGAGGAGTAGGGAAGGAGGGGAAGAAGAAGACGAGGAGAGAAGAAGACCTAATGAGGGGAGAAGAAGAAGAAGAAGAAGAAGAACGGCGCCTTCGTCGTCGGGGCCTTCGTCGACGCGTCGTAGCACGAGGGCCTTCGTCGTAGAAGCAGCAGCAGGACAGTCGGGGCCTTTGTCGGAGCAGCAGTGGCAGGACAGTCGGGGCCTTCGTCGGAGCAGCAGCAGCTGCACACCTGATGGCGATGGCGACGGGCGACGGGCCACGGCGAAGCAGGAGGAGGTCGGCAACTGGGATCGTGCTGGGGGCCGAGTGGCAGCCCACCCCAGCCGTCAATCATGGAGGATCGACGTCCACAGAGCCGACAAAAAATTCAAAAAACAAAGTAGGCCTACCGGGCCCGACGCTGAGGTTTTTTGGGCCAGTCGTACCCGGTAGGCCTGCAGGAGGCCAGCAGCAGCCGAAACCCCCGGGAGGTGACTGCGCTAGGGGGGGCCAGCCCCCAACCGGGTGCCCTGCCCGGCCAGGCCGCCCGGGACATCCCCCGGGCCGCGGCCTGTCACCCGGGCGGCCCAGTTCCCCACTCAGAAAATTTGGCCAAAAAAAAAAAAAAACGGTTTAAAAACCTGATTTCAGCAATGAAAACAGTTTACCCCGTTAACCACTGGTGGCATGTGGACGTTATATATTCTCTTTCCATGTCAATGTGACAACCCACCGAAGTGTGAGAAAGCATAACACAATGGATAAAAAAACTGAGGAAGATGTCAAGAGCTTTTGATATCATCTCCTCCCTGCAACACTTAGAAATCACACCATGCAAACGCGATACGTTGATAACCCATGCAAGCGTCATTTTCTTTTCTTTTTTTTTCTTCTTCTTCTTCGCCTTCTTTTTTTTTTTTTTTGCAAGCATCTTTTTCTTACCAAGACAGTAGCTGGGTGTTCCTGGTTGCTGGCCTCGGAATTTTGAAATGAGGTAATGAGGAGGAGGAGCAGGAGGAGGAGGAGGAGGAGGAAGATGGTGATGATGACAACAACAATTATGATGATTATGAGGAGGAGGAGGGGGAGGAGGAGGAGGAGGAGGAGGAGGAGGAGGAGGAAAAGAAGCAGGAAGCAAGGAGTAGAAACAGCCTGCAAGGAGCAGAAGCAGCTCACAAGAACAAGAATCAGTCGCGCCCAGCCCATGTGGCTAAATGGTACCCCCGAACAACTGAATTCAAATCCTGCTGAAATAAAATAGCTCTGAAATTACCTGGGGCCGTTTAGTTCGATGATGATACCTTAGGGTCGTCACCCATTTTGTTAAAAAAAATGGAAAAAAGGAAAGACAAAAAGCAGCACAGCAGAAAAAAGATGAGAGAAGCAGCACAGCAGAAGAAGAAGAAACAGCATGCACGATGAAGGAGTTCCACCGCGTCACCTAAAGATGGTTCTTTTTTTTTCTTTTTTTTTTCAATGAACAATGCTCCACTCTATTTGTTGGGGAGCAACACGAGCTGGGAACCAGGCCCAGCGTCATATTTGGGTGTTCTCAACTTCTCAAGCATGGCCCCCAAAGCTGGCTCATGGTTTTCAAAGCTCAAAACATAAATCCTTACACCACCACTACCTTTCAAAGGCGAAGGGTAAGTCGTGAATATAGCGTACACCGCATTCGTCAAAGGCCGGGTGCCACCGGACCAAAATGGCTGGTGGTCCCAGCCAAAACAAAAGAAAAAAAGTTGCGCTGACACTTCGGCAAAGCTTGGCGCGGAGTTCTACTCCGCTTCGGTAAAAGAGGCTTGGAGGAAGTGGTTCCTTTCGATCTTTCCATTTGGCAACTACCGGACGTGAAGTGGAGCCTCATCTCCTCCCTCTCTAAGGATTCACATGTCTGCATGTAACGGGGAGAAGGCCGTGAAGGGGATCATTTTTCTTCTATCTTTTTTTCAGTGAAGTTTCTTGTTTTTTTTTTTGTTTTTTTTTTTGAAGGGGATGATCATTAAGTTTGGCGTGCAGTGAGAGAGAAAAAAAAAACGCAAGAAAGAAAAGGAGTAGTGTGCAGGAGAGTCCGGGAGACGATTGCAGCTGCAGGACTGTAGCCTTCCGGGTGGCATCTGCACGAGGCAGCACGACTGAAGGGACCATTTCCAGTGTACCATGCCTTGAGAAATAGGGAGCAGACTTTTTTTGGTCGTTTACCTGTGCAATAACCCATGCCATATGTCTCGTGGAATATCTGCAGGTTTACTAGGCCGCCCTCAGCCCAGGCCAAAACGAGGATTCAGGGCCTGGACGTGAGACAGTTGACTTCAGTCAGTCAACTGTCGAAATACCAACAGTCAAAGTTCAAAGGTACCCAGTCCAGGCCGCCGGTCAGGCACGCACATTCGTTTGTATGCAGGTACCCAGACAGCATCAGGTCCAGAGGGGAGTCTGCAACTGTACACAATCCAGGCCCTCGGCTGTGAGTCAATCTGGACGACTGTGGGGAAGGGAACCAAGGCCAGAAAGCATCGTCAAATGCTACTTAAAGGCTGGCTTCGAGGTGGTCAGACATTCAGTCTTGCTATGGTGCTTAGACGCTGGCTCAACTTCGACCAGGCGCTGTCATTGACGCTAGCACGACGCTGGCTGGACGCAGGCACGGTGGACGACGACGCGGACTGTGACGGCATGCTGGCGCATTCTGGATTGTGCGCTAGGAATGCTGATGTGGCGCTGCCTATGGTCTACATTGCATGCTGATGAGGCGCTGCCTATGGTCTACATTGCATGCTGATGTGGTGCTGCCACTGGTCTACATTGCATGCTGATGTAGCGCTGCCACCGGTCTACGTTGCATGCTGATGTGGCGCATACTACAGGTCTACATTGCTGATGTGGCGCATGCCACTTGTTTCGACTGCTGACGTGGCATTGGCCGTGCTGTCTACATGAGGTGACTGATTGCGACAAGGAGGAAGATCGGGATCTGTAGAAGATTAGGATACGGGATACTTACCTGAGACCGACGTCGATATTGTTCGCTGCCGGCTGTCTTCACTGTCTCTATGAAAGAGTGGTGCCACGTGGCACTTCTGTGATATCGGGCCTGATCAGACTTGTTACTATTGTTTGCCTGATGACGTGGAGGGAGAGGAAGCCCGGAGAAGAAGTGGGATTGGTTGGGTTTCTATTGTGTGATCTTTGGCCATTTTTTCCACCTTCTCCCTTGTCTCTCCTCCCTCCACTCTTTTCGTCTGTTGGTAACGAGATACTGTTGCAGATATCATTTTCACGTTACCTGGAGACTTTGTACAGATCTGAGACTACTGGACTTCGACGTCTGAGGAGTATCTTCCTGACTGGGTTCATTACACCTGACTTGCTTTTTTAAAGTTCTTCCCCCATTGACTGTGTTTTCCACGCCCACTTTTTTTTTTTTTTTTTTTTTTTTTTTGCTGGAAAACGGGTCCAGTGTCCCTAATAATGCGCCAAAACAGAAAAGTGTGGGCAAAACAAACAGCCGGCAAACTCGAAAAGGCAATGAAAGCACCGCGGCCGTGTCGGAGCCACAGGTGTCGTAACTACTGGGGCACGCTGTGGTGTCAGACGGGAAAGGGAAACACACGCACAAAAAAAAAGGGCCAACCGATATCTATTTCGCCTGCGCATGCCTCTCCGAGTTCGGCGACTGTTTGTTTCCGCCTGGCATGTTTTTTTTTTTCACCCATTCGAGTTTGAAACCTGCATCATACGTGCTGCTCCCCACAAGTAGACTGGAGCAATTGTCTCCCCCCCCCCCCAAAAAAAAAAACCTGCATCGTCTGCACTTGTTTCAAATAAAAAACATCCAAATTATTATGCAATCTCAATGCCTGTCAACTATTCACTGGCAATCTGTGCTTCCTTTTTTTTTTTTTTTTTTTTTTTTTGTCCTTTCACTACCTTCCTACCACTACTCCCAAGACAAATATATAGAGGGGACCCCTGCAAGCATAGGGCCTCGCAAACGTGGTAAGTCATGTTGCCCCCCGCCCCAACAGCGAGAGTCAGAGATGGGGTGGGGCCACCGGTGGGGGTCCGGCTGCTTTTGGCTGCTATTGACAGCTAATCTTCCCTCTCCTTTTTTTTTTTTTTTTTTAAATCTACCAAGCCCTGGTTGGGTGAATGGTACCCACATGTAATTGTTAGGGGCTCACCACACAGGCTTTCGAAACATGGAAAATGGAAAATCCACGTGGCGTCTTCGCCACACAGGCTTTTTTCGACACAACTGCTTTCGACAAAGTTTCGAAACATGTCAGGGAGTTCGGCCTCGAATGGAAAGGCCTTTCGAATAGGCAACCTCTTCCCGCCTGTCACAATGGCGGGGTTTTCAAAAGCCCGCCAGCGGTCTTGTGGAAAGGGCACTCCCAAAAGTTAATGGGCTATTAGCGAGAAAAAAAAAAAACAAAAAAAAAAAGGAGATTATGATGTCTGTATTGAAACACCCGACTGGTGTTTCAAAAGTCTGTGTGGCCAAGGAGGGAGGGGGGGGGGGGGGGGGTCTTTCGACGAGCAGCCTTTCGAATGACGTCTAACATTTGTCGGAAAATGCCTTCATTCGAAAGGCTGTGTGGCGAGCCCCTTAGTGAATAGATCATGAGTTCAACTCCTGGTAAAAAAAACAGTTACTCTTCCCTCTCCTCAGTTGTATTCACTGGTGGGTGATGTTTACTCTTCACTGCCCACTGTGCTTTTGTATGTTTTTAACTTTTTGTGCACTTATGCATTTTGGATGATTGCCGGCAGGAGCTGATGTATGAGCTGTTGACGTATGAGAATAGGCTCAGGCCCTCGGCAGCCAGCTTTTCAGAGGGGTCCATCTGGACACAAGCGAACACCAGAATGACATGTACTCTTGAGCGCAACATAAAACTCCGCTGTTGCGAGCTGCTGCTGAACACAAACAATGATGCTGTTATCCGAGGCGTCATCGTGATTGGAGAGCATGTCTGTGAAGGGGGCTCCTTCTTCTTCTGCCCGTCCGTTCCCGTGTCCGCGCTCAGCGTCCCTGTCAGCCCTGTGAAAGACGTGCAGATGACGCTGAACATCAAGGTATTGTCCTCAACAAGATTGCCATACATGTGCATCGCATCTTGCGCCCACATGATAAAAATGAAACCCACCTGACCCATATTTGAGAGAAGAACATTGTGTAGTTTTGAAAAAAAAAGAGAAAAAAGTAGAGCCAAGGAAAAAAAAAGAAAAAATGTCTGACCCATGTGATAAAAAATAGACCTGTCTGACCCACATACACCTCCCCGCCTTTATTAACCCTTCTCTATTAGGGCCTGATTGCAGTACTCTCTCTTCTTCTTCTTCTTCTTCTTCTTTTTCTTTTTTTTTTTCTTTTTTTTTCACAACAACACCCCCTGCAGTGCTAGTGCTACTGGTAAGAGCAGGCAGCACTAGCACCCGGGGAGAGGCTCCATCTATTGGTGGGGAGCATCGCCTGCTGGAAAACGGGTCCAGCGACCCTTATACACAGAATGAATCAGGAACATGACAGGGAAATAACTGAGAAAGACACCTGCCAGCATTGATTACTCTGTCCTCCAGAGGATTGACTGTGCAGGTTGTTGGGAACAGGAAAAACCTCTTCTCGCCCCGTACCAGGCGCCAAATACCTGCTGTTGAAAGACTAGTTCCTCCCTCTCCCAAAAGACTTTACCACCCCATCCCCCACTATCAATCTTTCTGTTCCACTTGATGTCAGCTGGCAGCTTTGTGCGGACACGCACCCCTTTTTTCACTCAGAACCCGACCCTAATTTTTACATATCACTGCTAAAACATACACCATTCTTACCCAAAACTATCCTCTGGTCCTCTTGGTGCAATCCGCCTCTACCCTGCTTCTATTTTCCAAAAAAAACTGTCTCTTTCCATTCTATCCTTGGCCCGTAACTCCCCCATACCATTCCATTTCAACCAGAGCTAAGGGAGGGGGTGGGAAGACATCCGGAAAGTCTGAGAGGGGCCGGAGCGGGATAGAGGCGTCAATCTGGGTCCAATCCTGAAAGCATAGATGGTAGTCCCTTTCCCCTTCCTCTACATCTCCCCCCCCTTTCTCCCCGCCCGTCCATATTACCTTAGCGATCCATCCCCCCTGTCCCCCGCCCAGCCAGTCTTTACAGAACCTCTCGATGAGTTGTCTAATTTCTCGTTTAGAGTGTAGGTATGTGATTTTTTCTTTGAATCTTTCCCATTGAATGGAGATGTCCTCCTGTATTTGTTCCTTAATTGAGTTGATGAACTCAGTTCCATCACAGCGCTTCCTTACGAATTTCTGGGCTGAGAGAACAGTAGCAAGGAAAAAAAAAAAAAAGAAACAGAGACCTCCCACCGGAAATCATGGCAGAGTGCTTCCCAGCCATCAGATCACAAATGATCTGACCGTGGTGGTTGCAACAATGGTGAACAAAGTAACTGCCACATTTTTTTCTGGAATAAACTCAACTTTTTCTGTCATCAGTGATCATGACGCCCTCCATATACTCCGTAATTGAAGGACGGCTCCGCCCAATGAGATAATTGCAGAACAGCAAGCAAAATGCTGAAAATCTTCTATCCCGTTGGCCTATGGCCGACCGCACCCTCTTTTGGGGTTGGCCATACCCCAACGGATTGAAAAGATTTTGGCTGGACGCTTTCTTTGCACGGGCATGCCCAGTGTTAAGGAGAGGAGGAGGGGACCAAAGATCTCCTTACTTTTTCAGGTAATTAAATACATGTAAAATACTGACCGTGGGATCATGAGTACTGCACGGCAGGATTTGGGTCACTCGATTGCCACACAAACTCTTTTCTATCCTATCCCGTTGCTACAGTCTTCCCCCGAATACAACGTACAGTCATTATAGCTGAATTTAGACTGAAAGATACACCAAATTCAGCTATAATGACCGTACGTTGTATTCGGGGGAAGACTGTAGTGGGACCATGCTCCTGTTGAAATTGGCACTTCCTGGGGGTGCCAGTGGTGATTGCTGTTACCAACGCCACCTACCACTTGCAAGTTGCAAGAGATGTTTTTTTTTCAACAAAAAAAAGAAGGAAAGATACACAGGAGATTGGCATGGCCCCTGTGCAAGGATGATGCACATCAATCGAGAAATGGAGGGAAATAAAAAAAGAGAGAAAAATCCCCACCAGCCAAGGAGGGAGAGGAATATATCACCGACACCAATGGGACATGGCCCCCACTCTCCATTGGAAAATGAAGAATAAATTTTGGATTATTTCTCATCACCGATGCCAGAGGGCCATGGCCCCTACCCTCCGTTGGAAGAAAGAAAAACTTTGGACCATTTCTCTTTTTTTTTTCCCTTTTTTCCGGGACCATTTCTCGATTTATGCATGATAAGAAATTCTTGGACGATTTGCATGATAAGAAAATTTTGGACCATTTAGATGGAGCCTCTTCCCCGGAGTGCTAGCGGTGCCTGCTCCTATCAGCACCCCTAGCATCAGCTCCAGTTGGATTTTGTTTATTAAAAAAAAAAGAAAAAAAAAAAAGGGCCGTTTGGTCCATTTCTTGACTTAATCGTGTCTACCGTCTTCCCCCGAACATAACGCACCCTGAAAATGAACGTATACAAGGTATGTTTCCGGCCCGATACAGGCAAAATGGGGGTGTGTTGTGTTCGGGGGAAGATGGTAGTCTTCTCCGTATTGCTCCAATTTTGACGGATGTCCTGAAGGACAACATAAGGGCGAGGTCCCAAGCAGTTTATAGCCTTGGGGTCTTTCTCGCTGCAGCATCTCCAGTAATGGTAGATGTCTCGCCGCTACACCCATCACCAGAGCAGTGTCAGGGATAAGATCGAGACCGAGTAAGAGGCCACCAGACCCGCTCGCCACGGGAGCCGAGAGGAAAAAATTTGGACCATTTCTCGATTTATGCGTGTCATCCTTGCGCAGGGGCCATGCTAATTTTCTCTGTATCGTTCCAATTTTATCGGATGTCCCGAAGGACAACTACCAATAGAGACAGCAGTGCCTTTGTATGTGAGAATTTAAGAGTGCCGTCGCAGTTATGGGAGCCGTCTGCCTGCAGGCCTCTTTTTGTGAAGAGAAGATCGAGATCTCGATAGCAACCACACCCAACCACCACCGGAAAAAGACGGGAAAAAAAATTGGACCGTTTCTCCATTTGTGCTTGTCTTCCTGTGATTCATTTCTAGACATGCGAGGAAGAGAGGCCACACAGTACTGAGATGCTGCACCGATCAGGGTCCCATAACCGTTTGCCTTGCGCATCAGCGAAGAATACAAACTGCTAGGGGCCTCCTCTCTAGATTGTCCTTCGGGACATCCGTTAAAATTGGAACGATACAGAGAAGATTAGCATGGCCCCTGCGCAAGGATGACACGCATTAATCGAGAAATGGTCCAAATTTGTTTTCTCTTCTCTCTCCGTGGCGAGCGGGTCTGGTGGCCTCTTACTCGGTCTCGATCTTATCCCTGACACTGCCGGTGATGGGTGTAGCGGCAAGACATCTACCATGCGCAGGATCTGCTTCAGGCCTCTTTGTGTCCCAGGAAAGCATTTTCCATTCCTTTCTTCTGTCCATTTCACCTCTCACAGCCTATACAGGGGACCCCTGTAAACATAGCTACCATTCACAATCAAGGGGATGCATGTTGCCCCCCCCCCTCCCCCTCCCCCTCCCCTCCCCCCCGCCTCCCCCACACTAATCCGTGGTGGTCATAGTGTAGGGTGGGGGAGCGGGCTAACGCAAAGACGGAGCATTTTGCCAGTAACTGCGACTCCCATCAACTTACCCGCCTCCCCGGCCATGTAACAGCAGTGCCTGATCACCTGAGCACACTTGCCAACCAAATGAGATAGTTGGCTTGCTCCCCCTGGTCGGTATTTGGTAAGGTCTTTGGCCATCACAGTGTGTGTGTGTGTGTTTGTGTGTGAGTGTGGGGTTGTGTGAGGTGGTGCCTCCAGAAAGATCGAAAGCAACCACATCCGACCACTACGGCATAAAAATGAGGGGGGGAATTTTGGGCCATTCCTCAATTAATGTGTGCCGTCCCTGCACAGAGGCCATGCTATTATCTCTGTATTGTTCCAATTTTAACAGATGTCCAGAAGGGATATAATGGAAGACTGCGGAGCTTTTATATAAGCTGACATGGCGTGGTGCTGGGCTGTTATGCGTCATCCCTCCCAGCTATAGTCCTTGCCTATACCCATTTCCTTCCCGAGAGAAAAGATGGTCGTGACTACTGCCAAAGAGAAGAAAAGGACAAAAAAAAGGGGAATCAATTTGTGTGTGTCATCCTGACTCAGGGGCCGTGCTAAAATGCTTCCAATCTGAAAGATCAATGTTGCCTGAGGGCATGCTGTGAGGCTAGGTGCATAGTCTGTACTTGGGGGAGAAAGCCGCAAGGTACACTCTGGCGGGCATTTTTCTTTCAGTCCGCTTTGGGAACAACCTCTTTTTCTTTTTTTCTTTTTCTAACCAGCTGCTGGTGTTACGGGGGCTGATAAGAGCAGCCCCGGGTAGCACACCCCCCCAGATGGCTCCTGTCTATTGGCGGGGAGCTACACCCGCTGGAAACTGGGTCCCGGTTTTGGCGGCGGTTAACACGGAGGTCATAAACGGCTGGCGACGGCGGCCATATGCATCTCCGAAGCTTGGCGCGCAGGGCCCGCGGCTGATGTATCAGAAACGCACTGGCAGTTTAAACTTCGGTCACAGTCTCCTTGGATAGAAGGGTGGAAAGCTTTCCTGAAGAAAGAACTTTGAAGTGCCAGTCCGCGCCACTCTAAGCCCGGGCTACTTTGGGTTTGGTTTGGACTTTGGCTCGGTCCCTCGGGGGTTTTTGGGCCTCATGAGCCCAGGCCCTTTTCCCGATTGGCTTTGTTTTTGGCTCAGTACTAGCTGGTTGGACGGCCTTGGCCAGTAATTGCAGTGAACCAGGGTCGACTTTGGTACCGTTTAGTTGCTAAGTACCGCCTGGAAAGTTTGACTGTAGTGTCCGAACGATGTTCCGCTCAGTAAACAACACCAGTAAGCACGTAGTACTTAGGCATTGTTT